AAAAAAAAATTATCATCAGAAATCATAAAAAGTATAATGGAAATATGTAATGAACTAAATACATTTGTAATATCTCAAAAATTACCACAAAAATTAAAGAAAAAGACAGAAATAGGAACATTTACCTCTTGGGTAACGTGACCTTGACATGAAGAAAGCAGTATGTTTACTTTAAAAATCGAAAATGACAAATTTATTTATAAATAAAATCTCAAATATTTTTTACCGTACAAAATAAAGACAGAAAAAAACAATCGTGAAAACTGCATATGTCTAACATGTGTAGTTCTCAAGAAAAAATTTTTCTAAACCGTTAACACTTGCCCGGCAGAAAATTCTGCCGGTTGAGCGTTTTGGGAGGGGAATTGGCCGGCAGAAAATTCTGCCGGGCGAAGACACTACGGGCCCTAATAATGCATATGGAAAGAATCCACATGGTGGCCAAAGCTAGTACATCATTTTTGGCCACCCCTTTGGCCATAACTGGTGCATCATGAAATATTTTGATCCACTTGTAGCCATGACTGTTTTTAAATATAATAAACTAAATAACTTTTAAAAAATTCTCACACTTTTTAAAGCTTCCTATGTTGGCATAAAACATCACTTGTACAACTGAATTATATATTTATTAAAATATAAGCTGATATTTATCTCTTGGTTCCTAATGAATTAACATATAAAATCAATTCAAATTTGTATTACCAAAATTAATCTATTATATTTAGTCTTCTTCTTTAAATATAGCATATACAGTAATTATCAAAATAATACAAAAATTTATAGAGGTGCCACTTTTATTATTTTCTGTGATAAAGATTTACTATTTCATCTTTTTTCGATTTATTTGATGTACAAAATCGCAGAGCAATGAACCATTTTAAAACGAATTTTTTAAAACTGAACAATATCTGGATATATAGATTTTAAAAATTTAAAATTTCGAAAATACTATCATAACAAGCACATCTTTGCAATAGTATTAGTATTGATCACTTGATTGAATAGTCCGGTCATCAGCGCTCCTAGTGAACAAAATGTGCAAACCGCCTCAGGCATCGACNAATAATTTTGTCGATTCGTACCGTTTACAACATTTATCAAAGGAAGGATATCTGTTTTTAATTTTAACAGTTTTGTATTTTATTATTCTTTCTTAAAATATCAACTACTTCTTGGGTCAGCCTATGCTTTTCCTCTTTCCAAGTGAAATGTGTTGGCATCTGATCCGAACCAGCTTCAAAACTAAAGTATTTGCTCAATTCTATGGCAAGAGAAGATTTTACGAGTCCTACTCCACCGACCCTTTCGTCAGCAGGATGGTAGACTCTTCCACTCTCTGGAAACATGCAGAGTTTGTTTGGTTCGAATAGCCTTATTAACAAATCGGCAGCGTGTCCATACGATAAAAAATACTGCCCATCGTCATTTGATTTTTCAATAATATGTGTATACACGATAGGTGTATCATCACAACGAATGTAATTACGTTCCCGTCCACAGGGAGAAATGTATGGAAATTCCTTTTCATATCTTCCTGTATCATTGATGCGAATTCTCTTGAAGAAAAACTCTAGAAATTTTTTTTCTGAAAATGAAAACAAATAAAATTTGATTAGTAATTCAATAATTTATAGCTTTCTTCATAAAAAATTAAATATCATATTTTAAATATTTAAACATTTTTTTCACATAAATTAATCATAATTGTTTCTTTGCTTTATGCCATTTTGGCTTGTGAAAGGTTTCATAGGAATGCTCTACTTTCCAAAGTGGGAGAAACCTATATACATAAGTTGTGCTTTATATTTACTAGTAAAGATTATCAGGAACAATTTAGTTTCAAAAACATATTTTATGAATTTTATCAAATAAATGTATCTGTTTTTAGAATGTTCCAATGTCAATCCAATTCAAAGAACTTTCCTTAGAAAACAGGAAAATCCAAGCATTCATCAGGAGTCAACAAGACTTTTGGTAATAAATGTAGAACTTTGCTTATAGAAAGTGCTTAGATTTTCAAAGTTCTTTCTCTCAGAAAAATAGTTTAAATTGGATACACAGTTACTTCTGTTTTAAAAGTTCTGTGTTTAGTTAAGGCAGTGTTTCTCAACAGGGGTGATATCGCCCCCATGTGAGCATTTTTCCACATTGAGGGAGTGATTTGTAACAATTTATATTTTGGGGGAGTGAAAATTTTCTGGGGCGATATAGTAAAACATTATATTAAGAATAATTAGATATTTTATTCATTATATCGTACAATAATTTAAACAAACAACATTATACTAGTCATTAGTCTATTCAATGCAGTATGAATTTGGCATAAGCCTTGGCCCTTAGCATCAGAATTTTGAAGTGAAGGGGGCGACAATTAGTTTGAGGTTGAGAAACACTGAGTTAAGGCAATGCAACACTTGGGTGATCTGCCTAGGGGAATACCTTCTGAAAGGTCTTTTTAAAGGCAACTGGCCCCTAATCAGGCATTACAGATGTGGAGAAAACCCGGAAAACTCCACATGGACAGCCTGTCCTGGTGAGGCACAAACCCACAACCAAACTTCCAGTTTCAGGGAACAGAACCGCTTTGCCACTGGTGGGTCTTGTTTTAAAAGAAGAGTCTGACTATTCAGAAGCATTTTTATCATTTATCACATTACAAGAATGATGTGTAACCTCAAAAAATGTTGCAACAACTTTTGCAAATGCAATTTTTAAATGCATTAATTTAGGGAAAATAATCTACATGTCAAGTTGAGTCTACATGTCAAGACTGTAGTCACAGTTCCTGCCAACTAACCATTTGGATTTGTATGGAACAATGCAAGACAGATAAGAAATTCACATGTAAGAAATTCCTTTCAATATCATCTCAAA